AGAGAGAGAGAGAGAGAGAGAGAACAGCAGACGATGAACAGGAGTGAGCAGACGATGAACGGCTGGGCCCGCTTTTGTGGCAAAATGAAACAAAGGTGCAGCTCCTCTTTGAATTGTCTTATCGCCATGTTTCTGTTACTTTTCCCCGCTATATTTCCTCAAGATTTGTTTGTTTCGTGATGTTGTTCGGAGTTGTTTTGTTATTGCTGAGTGTTTTTTTGTTTTTATGGTCGTCTGTAGACACATGAGGCGTGGATTTTAAGTTCCTTTGATCTTTTTTTAGGGTGTAATATTTGTGCAACATGGGTTTGGAGGTTTATCTTTTTCTTTCATGTTTATGAACCACGAACTTTCTTAGCAAGATTATCTTCAGAATCGGTGTGAGCATTCCCGTGTGCCTTTTCACAAAAACACGCAAACAAATAACCAAATACAAGGGTGGAGTAATGTTTACGTTTAACTGTTTATTGGACGTAGCGGAGACATATCAGACAGCAGACATGGGTGGTTGGCGGGTAGTCTGGTGTGGTTTGCTCCTTCTTTCCTAAAATCACTTTATGACCAAGACTCATTGTGGGTGGTTGGAGGGTAACGTGCTCTGGTGTGGTTTGCTCCTTTTTTCGTATCAAACATATTATATCGCCTTTATCTCCCCTCCTTCTTTTTTTTTGTGTTTGTTACTCCCTTGTAACACCTCTAATCTTCCGAACTTTTATGACCTTATTGCGTTGCAAGTGCCGTGAAACTCTTACTTAAACAAGACAGCAGACCAAAAGCGGTGTTGTGCAGCAGTCGAACGGCCATACACAAATCAGAAAGACAGGTTTGAATAAATCATAGTAAGCATGTTGTTGTCTGTCTTTTCATGTTCCAGAGAAAGGAAAATTCTTTTTGATATTCTAAATGAAACTCACCACTCACCATCCACAATACAAACTTCTATTCATCTAGGGTGTACAGGTATAACCCACCCAGCGACTAGGATTGAGACCTCTATCGATATTTCTATATATAATAATCAGAGTCTACGGATGTAACCTGGGCCTCTTCAGTTCTGAGAAGGCCTAGGATGTAAACCTCCTAGCAACTAGGATTGAGACCTACGTCGACATTTTCTCAATACCAAAGCGTACGGATGTAAAACTCCTAGCTACTGGGTTTCAGACCAATGTCGATATTTCTCTATACCAGAGTGTACGAGTGAAACCCACCCAACCACTAGGTTTCAAACCTACGTCGACATTTCTCTATATCAGAGTGTACGGATGTAAAACACCTAGCCACTAGGTTTGAGATCTTTGTCGATATTCCTCTATATCTGGGTGTACGGGGGTAAAACACCCAACCACTAGGATTGAGACCTCTATCGATATGTCTGTATAACAATCAAAGTGTACGGATGTAACCTGAGCCTCTTCAGTTCTGAGGCCTTGGAGGTTACCTTCCCAGCAACTAGGTCTGAGACCTATGTCGACATTTTTCTGTACCAGGGTGTACGGATGTAAAACACCTAGCCACTGGGTTTGGGACCTAAGTTGATATTCCTCTATATCAAAGTGCACAGATGTAACCCATCCAGCCACTAGGTTTCAGACCTAGGTCGACAGTCCTCTATATCAGAGTGTAAGGCTTTGATACTTTTGTCGATATTCCTCTATATCAGATCGTACGGTTTTGAGACCTATGTCGATATTCCTATATATCAGGTCGTACGGTTTTGAGACCTAAGTCTTCATCCCTCTATATCAGAATGCACGGGTTTGAGATCTATGTCGATATGCCTCTATACCAGAGTGTACAGTTGGGACCCACCCAACCACTAAGTTTGAGATCTTTGTCGATAACCCTCTATACCAGAGTGCACGGGTGTATAACACCCAGTCACTCCGAAGAAGACATGAAATGAATATGTCACTGTGAAAAGTGTTAATTAAATATCGAAGCTGTGCTGTTTTCTAAATAGCCTATAAATATCGCATCCTCAAGCGTTGTAGGACGGCCAGAATGCTGGACCTCAGTGAGCTAATTGTTGAATAGGTCGGTATGGGGTTTGTTATGTAGACTACCACATTATCGTTGGTGCAATTACAAGCTGTTCAACGGTTCTAAGCCCAGAAAGAAACATTTTTTCAGGAGAGAAAAAAAGTATTTAATACTTTTGAAAGATTGTACGTAAATTATTAATACATATATATGTATATTTTTTGGCTGTTGTTTTTGTTTTGTTTGTTTTTACTTTTAAAATGTGTATTTTGACAGCCTCTCAAGCACATGCAATCGATACTATAGATTGAGAAACTTCTTTTTTTTATTCAAAATTTTGGGCTTAGTATACATTTTGATAGGTGTATGGTGATGTTAAATACAAGGATTGGGGTAATATTCATGTATAAACACATACAAAACACACTTTCATACACACACACACACACACACACACACACACACACACACACACTCACACACATACACACATACACACATACACACACGCACGCCCGCAATCTCTCTCTCTCTCTCTCTCTCGCTCTCTCT